CTCGATAACACGTTCTTGCCACGAGTATCCGACTCCAAATGGCCCGAATCTATTCAAATAAATTGCATAATGTAAATATAACTCCGAGTAACTAATTTAGCTAATTAATTCGAAGCTGAAGCGTGAAATTAGGAAAAACACCCAAAAAGTCACCCCGGGCCCACGTCTCGGAATCGGGTAAAAGTCGCAAAAATACGAACACCCATTCACTCACGAGTTACTCGTACCAAAATTGTTCAAATCCGATACCAAAATCTCGATCAAAACTCCAAAATTCGGCCTAAGAACTTTTTCTCAACTTTTCACCCCAAATTCGAAATTTAACGATAAATTCAAGCATAGATTAGTGGAATATAACCATAAAAGAGTTAAGAATCGTTACCCAATCGATATCTCTGAAAAATCCCTCAATCCCTCGTCCAAAATCCGAGCTCCCAACTTAAGTTTTTGATAAAAATGGCATAACCTCCGTTTTTGGAACTTTAATACTGCCCAGACACGTCCTTCTTCGCGAACGCGGCCACACCCTCGCGTTCGCGAAGTACAATATACTTCAGCCCAAAAATCCTCCATCGCGAACGCGAAGCACGAAATCTCGCTTGCCTCCAGTTCTTCTTCGCGAACGCGTAGCTTCGAGGTTCCACACCTTCGCGAACGCGAGAGCGACATCGCGGACGCGAAGAGTAATTTAACTGCCCTTCCCATATACCTTACGCGAACGCGAGGACTCCCTCGCGAACACGATGAAGAAAATGCCTGCAACAGAACACCAGAAATCTGCTGCTTCTCTAAGTCCAAAGATGACTCGTTGAGCATCCGAAACATACCCGAGGCGCCCGGGACCTCGACCAAACATACCAACCAATCCTAAAACACCATACGAACTTAGTCGAGCTCTCAAATCCCATCAAACAACGCTAAAATCACGAATCACCCTCCAATTCAAACTTAAAGAACTTAAAATTTCAAAATTCTACAACTGATGCCGAAACCTATCAAATCACGTCCGATTGACCTCAAATTTTGCGCACAAGTCATAATCAACATTACGGACCTACTCCTACTTCCGGAATTGGAAAATGGCCCCGATATCAAAAATTCCACTACATGCCCAAAACTCCAAAAATTCGACTTTCGCCATTTCAAGCCTAAATGAGCTACGAACTTCCAAAACACAATCCGGACACGCTCTTAACCCCAAAATCACCTAACGGAGTAAACGGAACCGACGGAATTTCATTCCGGAGTCGTCTTCACACAGTTCCGACTACGGTCCAAATCCTAAGGCTTAAGCTCTCATTTAGGGACTAAGTGTCCCAAAACACTCCGAAACTCAAAACCAGTCATCCCGGCAAGTCACAATAGCATAAAAAGATTTGGGGAAAGCAGTTAATAGGGGATCGGGGCTATTACTCTCAAAACGACCAGCCGGGTCGTTACAGAAGTATATTTTAATGTAAATAGAATATCCAAAGTCCCTTAATCCCTGCCCTTAAGATAATGTTTTTCTGATTGTTACCAGTTACCATTCTCCAAAAAGAAAATGTTTTCTGATAAGACAGTTTGAGATAATCTAAGTGAAGTCATCAAGAACTTACAATACTTCGCCAAATAATCCAACTGTTGTGATATCCAAAAGTTCAGTCATAATGACTCTAGATCCTTTTTTGGGGGGGTGGGGAGAATAAGTAGGTAATGCATCTGGATCCTAGGCTCATTATCTGGTCTAATAGTGAAATACCAACATTGTATTATATAATTTATATGGACATGACCCTTCCATAAAGCAAGATATCCATAGACATTACACAGCCAATGAGGGTATGAGTGATTGTGTTCTAGTATGAAAGTAGTAGTATATGAATATACCAGAGCACTCTTCTATATGTATGGTATGTCTTTGTCTAATATAGAAACATCATTCCAATACTTTTACCTTTAATTAGTTTGGCTTATATGAAAGAGAGCAATGTCAATTTATAAAGCTCTTACCAGACATGTAATAGAATCCTTTTCTTGGTTGTCAGTTATCACCTGATCTGCCCATTAACCATTTTAAGCCTTTCTCACTCAATTATTTTAATTTCTGATCAGCTTCTAAAGCTTTAGAGTACAAAGAGAGTTGCATCTACCTACACGGCTACTCCATATTCATGTAAAACGAAATGTTTTGGAACTGATATTAGCAGATATCTTATGTCACAGCAGAAAAAAAGTGCGACTACGATCACAAAAGTAGCTCAGATAATCCAAATATTAAAGTTCCCTTTCAGGTGAAATTTCCAAGTTAAGAAACTCGAGTAATTGCTCTCTGAACTGAAGTTACAACAACATTTCAATCACGAATTAGTTAGGTTTTTCTATTAAAAATCTAGGTATCCATTCCCCTCTATCCAGGCCCGTAAAATTAAGATCTGTGATAGTTAGACTATTTTTAGTCTAGCCTTTCAACCTGCAAACAACCCTTCTCATTTATCTGAACTCGGCACCAGCTATGTTAGGCAGAGTTCAATGTTCAAATATTTATCTGGAAAGTTTCTTATAAAGTATACATTACCTTGAAAAATCTAAGATCAATAGCAGCTTTTTTGGACTCTTGAATAGCAACTAGCGCTTCTTCAATACTATCAGCTTTGATTAATGCCACCACTTTACAGCGAATCGCGTCCTCATCTCCAGGCGCAACAGCAAGAACTTCAAAACAAAATTCATAAATTTTCATCAAACGAAGTTCACAAATTCTTTGTGTTCAAGATGGTATGCACAATCAAGCAAACAAATGACAAAACTCGGAAATGAACATGTTAAATATAAGAAATTGAACTAGTTATAATCAAAGACTTAGACTGCTTGTTCATAGAAACAAAATTCATCATATTTCATCACATTACACACACTTAAAACCTACAAGTCGCATTCCTTTTTATGCAATTTACAAATTTATAATATACCACAAATTATTAACTATTTTAATTGTCTCGTTAATATGATACAACAGAGGACATTAAAATGATTATACCGAGGTTAAAAGAGTAAGGGAGAAAAAAGAATTAGTGTTGACATCAAATCACATTGGCTTATTATGATTGTTAACGCCAAACTTTGGGAGGTCAAAAGTACATTTTATTTGAAAAAATATTATTTTTTTTGGTAGAATTGAGGTGTTTAGCCAAAAATAAAAAGAAACATATTTTGTGTTATTTTAGTAGAAGCTATAATTTTTTATATACTCCAAGAAGCAAAAACAAATGAATAATTCTTTCAAGATAAAATTATCCTTACAAAATATATATTATCAAACTATCTATCACTAGTTGAACCCACATATATCTCATATATAAATACAACCCTTTTCTTCCTCTCTTTTTTTTTGTGTTAACTATATTTATATTTATGAAAAATCTTAATATATATTTATTTTATTTCTTAAAATATAACTAAATAAAAATAAAAAGTTTATAAAAGCATTTCAAAAAAGCATTTAAAATTATTCTACTATATTTAAATAATAATAATTGTAAAATAAAATTTAAAACTTTTTTTTTCATAATTTGACACTCAAATAATTATTTGTCAAGATTGATCAAACACAATGTATTTATCAAATACTAAAAGAAGCACTTTGTAAGTGAATTGACCAAACACAAACTACTCTTACAAAATACTTCTCTAAAAAGCTATTTGTTCAAAAGTGTTTATCAAAAGAAACAGTTTTGAAGCATGGCCCAACAGGAAAGTAATAGATTGAGGTGAAAATAGTTAATAACTAATATTGATTAGCGCTAAAAGCGTATATAAAAAATACATATATTAATTTAATATATAACACATAATGCGATAATATTTTTTCCTGAATAATGTCTATTTTATATCATCGGTTCTCTCTTAAGTGCTATTAATTATATGGTATATTCTAGTCAATTGGCTTTTCTATAAAAAGTTACTGATCATTTCCAGCAAATAAAATCACCTAGTAATAGCTTAAATAGCTTAGATACTTGAAAACTTCTACTTGAAATTTTGCACAACTTAAATATGTAAATCAACCAAACTAGGGGAAGGTAGGTGTAAATAGTATTAGTCTTCAAATTTATCTTTTTAGAAAAAAGTCGAGAGCCTCAACAATTTCATTTCTAATATAACAACTACTTACTGAAACTTTATTTGGAAATAATTATATTAAACAAATAATATTTCAACAATCTCACTACATATTCTTTTTAGTTACTACAAGTTTGAGTAGAAGTTGGATAAACAAACGTGAAAGATAATAAAGAGCTGCTAAAATTTGTTTATATTTGAATAAAAGCAACACATTACATATTGGTATGAACTTAGATTTTAGTTTTTTATAAGCAAAATTTACTTTCTAAGAATTGCGTAAAGAGTACTACAATAAATACTAACAAATTTTATAATTATTAAGTTGAAATAATCTAATAACATTACACCAACAACAATAACCACCAAGGTGTAACACCCGGAAAAAATTTCTAAGTGTTTTAAAACTATTAAGAAGATTGACGGGTGCTAATTATATCAATTCGGGTATGAACAAGACTGGTAATTTGAATGATATGAATTGATCATGATAATATATATATATATATATATATATATGAGGTGCATTAAAAATGGTTTAGGGTCTAAGAAAGCCTCAAGGCCAAGTCAAGTTGAAAATTATATGATAGGATAAAGTTTCAAGTGAGTTTGCACAAGATCTAACTTCAAACAAGCATAACTCTCAAGATATGAAGAGTTATATGGTGTATAACCTATCAAATTAAATCCCTTTGAGTCTAGTTTCTAACGCATCAAACCGTTTGCCATTTGGAGATTTCTACAAGAAGTTATGGTCTTTTTACTAAAGAGTGACAGAACAGCTACGCGAGTCTTGCGTAGCCTACACAGATTTGCGTAGGCAAAATCAGTATGGAAGTGAGGGGAGGGTTAAGCTGCGTAGCCAATCTGCGTAGGCTACGCAACCAGCCTACGCAATTTATTTTTTTATAAAACAGGGGAGGTTCGGGGAGAGAGAAAAACATAACAATTTTGGCTAAGTTTTGGGTTCTAGAGAAAAGGTGGAGCATCCTCAACCCAAATACACATCAAAGGTGAGTTTTATGATATTTTTATAATGGATTAACACTAGTTACTGGTAGTATTAACATCTACATGGATTGAAATTCATAAGGACTTCTCTAATCTTCAAGAATCATTCAAAAAGGTTCAAGATTGGGTTTGAACTACAAGAGGTAAATTCTCCACCCTACACTTAAATACAACTATGGATTAAGTATTTGGAATGTATTGTGAAGTAGAAAGTACCAATTGGTTGAAGAATTATGCTAGTCCTTGAAATGTGTATTGTGAGTTAGGGTTCTTAATGGAGAAGAAGATGAATAGTGAATTTTTGAATCTTGTTAGGATGGTTGGTGATTCTAGTGCTTCAATAGCTTAATAATGATTAACTATTGAGTCATATAACCTACATTGGGGCTTAAAGGTCAAGGATGAAATCTATTAAGGATAAAAAAGATATGTATGGGTGAATTGGGCTTGTTGAAGACTTTAATTGGAGATCTGAGGGTCAAGTTAATATCGGAATTTGGTGAATTTTGTATGGTTGGACTCGTGGTTGGATGGGCGTTCATATTTTGTATGGTCGGATTTTTATGAAAAAATTATATTTTCATATGGAATTAATTCCTACAATTTTTATTGATTGAATCGAATTATTTGTGGCTAGATTCGAGGCGTTTGTAAGCCAATTCACGAGGCACAAGCATAGCGGAATAGGAAATTACACAGGTTGAGGTAAGTAACAGTTATAAATCTGGTCCTGAGGGTATGAAATCCCGGATTTTGTATCATGTGATTATTTTGGAGATGACGCACATGCTTGGTGACGGGATTGTGTGCATGCACCGAGGGGATTGTGACTTGGTACGTCCCGTGAAAACTGTAAAGTTGAATAACTTGTTGTTAGCATGTCCGTTCTATGAGACTGGGGATCATCTGAATGAGATTTAAGGCATAATGACTCCGTTCTTGTTTTTTTTTTTTTTACTGTAAATGTATTACAGATAACAAAGAGCAATTCAGCAGTGGAAGTTTAGATGTGATGCCATGATCATAGATCCCTTGAAACTGTGTGGTTATGTCCTATATGATGTTGATTGACAATACTAAGCTGAGGTGATAGAAACTAAGACGGGCTTCAAATATGAAACTGCTCTTAAGTTTAGCTGCAGTCATGTCACATGTGTGTGTGCGTGCCCGCATACACAAACACATATTGCTGACGTTATTTATCAATGCAATAAATTGACCATATATTTTATGTGATTATCTTTTGTCATTTATGTGTCTTATAGGACGGGTTTTGTGCTTGGTTCAGGTAACTGAGGATTACTACTTTTGGAGTTGACCAGGTGCAATGGAGATGTCATTGTTAGAAGTTCTTCTCAACAACATCTCCCAATTTTTCCATTTATCATCAAGTGAAAGCATAAGTGATGTACTGGTTCAGAGGTATTATTGCAAGAATGAGGATGTGCTGAAGATTTTAAAGCCGATTCTTGAGGCCATTGTTGATGTTGAAGCAGCTTCCAGCGAGCTGCTTCAGAAAGCATTTGCCAGACTAGCTCAATTTATTGATGAACTGAGGGAGCTGTATGAAACCTGGCAACCATTGGGCAGTAAAGTTTATTTTGTATGGTCTAATATTTATGCTCTTTATTTATTGAATAAGACAGATGATCCATTTGTTCTTATTCATAATCAGCATACTGAATGAGAATGGGATGTAGTGCAATTAATGAATTTATGGTTTACGGTTAAGGCATTTTAATACTTTGAGCAAATATATTTATATTGTTGATGTGTTGATGATCTATAGGTCCTGCAAGCTGAATCACTGATTGTAAAAATCCGGACATGTAGTCTTGAAATTCTCGAGCTACTTAAATCTTCTCATCAATGCCTTCCTGCTGATTTAACTTTGACATCTCTTGAGGTAGGGAGCCAAAAACAGGTCATTTCTGATCTTCTTCTCCCTTCTATTTGCCGTATTCCTACGCCAGCTGTAATGTTCCTCTCTACTCTTGTTGTTGGTTAGAATTTGTCATCCTTATGGTGATTTAACTTCCTGAGTATTTGGATTGCAGCACTCTATACTAAAAATTAAGTATGTGGATTATGAACTGATGTCCATGACTATCACAAAGGCTGTTAAGGCTCAAATGGAAGGCTTGGGAGCAAGCTCAGATGGCTTTGCAAAAATTACTGATTGCCTAAGATTGAACTCAAACAAAGAGCTTTTGATTGAGTTTGTGGCCCTTGAACAATTGAAGGAGAACGCTGAACAAGCTGAAAAGAGCGAGGAAGTTGAATATATTGAGCAAATTATAGCGCTTGTTTCCAATATGCATGACCGCTTTGTCACAATGAAACAGTCTCAGACCTGCACGCCTGTGCCGATACCTCCTGATTTTTGTTGCCCCCTCTCACTTGAGTTGATGACTGACCCTGTAATTGTTGCTTCCGGACAAACTTATGAGCGAGCTTTTATAAGGAAATGGATTGATCTCGGTCTTACTGTTTGTCCTAAGACAAGGCAAACGCTGGGGCACACAAATCTCATTCCTAATTACACTGTTAAGGCACTTATTGCAAATTGGTGTGAATCAAACAATGTAAAGCTGCCTGATCCGATGAAATCTCTGAGCTTGAATCAGTCATGTTCCCTTCTAGCACATGCAGATTCTGGTGTGCCCAGGGATACCCTGGGTTTTCCCCTTCCGAGGGGCAATCACTCTTCGTCACCAGATTCTGCTCGCTTTTTAAGTTCTCCTAGGAAGAGTTTGATTTCATCAAGTATAAACCAAAGAGAAGGATCATCTCCATCCCATCCCCATTCCTCTTCGGATGATTCTTTACCTGGAGTTGCTAGTAATATGCTAGCTCTGGATGTTGAAAGGATATCTATTAAGAGTTCTGAAGAACGTATGGCCCACTCTGGAGAGATAAACTCAACTGGTCATAGTATGTTAGCAGCCGATGAACACTCCCTTGTAGGTCATAATCGAACTACCTCGGCACCCAGCACACTATCTAATTCAAACTTTTCACCTGCAATTTCTGGTGATGGAAATGAAGTGTCTTCAAGGTCAGCAGTGGCTGCGACTGATGCTTCAGGGGATGTGTCAGAATCCTGTCCTGCTGCTCCATTGTCTGTCCTACGAAGGGAGCCGGAATTCCCATCCATGCTGGAGACAAGAGCTCGAAATCAATCCATCTGGCGTAGACCTTCTGAGAGGTTTCCTAGAATAGTTTCTTCTGCTACAGTTGAAAGAAGGGCTGATCTTTTGGAAGTTGAGGAGCAAGTTAGGAAGCTAGTTCAGGACTTGAATAGCGATTCCATTGATGTGAAAAGAGATGCCACAGCTGAACTCCGATTACTTGCCAAGCACAATATGGATAATCGTATTGTAATTGCAAGCTGTGGTGCCATCAACTTGTTGGTCAACTTACTTCATTCAGAAGACATGAAAGTACAGGAAAATGCTGTTACTGCACTTCTCAACTTATCAATTAATGACAACAACAAGTGTTCGATTGCAAATGCCGATGCAATTGAACCTCTGATTCATGTCCTCCAAACAGGGACTGCTGAGGCTAAAGAAAACTCCGCCGCTACACTTTTTAGCCTTTCTGTGATTGAGGATAACAAGATGAAGATTGGGAGGTCTGGGGCTATAAAACCTCTTGTGGATTTATTGGGAAATGGAGCTCCTAGGGGAAAGAAGGATGCAGCAACAGCTTTGTTTAACTTGTCAATACTTCATGAAAACAAGGCTCGCATTGTGCAGGCTGGTGCTGTAAAGTTTCTCGTAGAGTTGATGGACCCCGCTGCTGGGATGGTCGACAAGGCTGTTGCTGTTTTGTCAAATCTTGCAACCATTCACGAGGGAAGAGCAGCAATTGGCCAGGAAGGAGGGATTGCTGTTCTGGTTGAGGTTGTTGAGTTGGGTTCCGCAAGAGGTAAGGAGAATGCAGCAGCAGCTCTGTTGCAATTATGCACTAACAGTAGCAGATTCTGCAACATGGTTCTCCAGGAAGGAGCTGTACCTCCATTAGTGGCATTGTCACAGTCTGGAACCCCTAGAGCCAGAGAGAAGGTACAATTTTGCAGAAACCGCACACTTCCTTTTCTATCCTTTATCAAGTATTCTAAAATGTACATGCCGGTATATGCAGGCTCAGGCACTTCTTAGCTACTTCAGAAACCAACGGCATGGTAATGCAGGGAGGGGCTGATTTATACATTGGACATTGAACATATACTTTTCTTGAGGTAATTAATTAACTGATTAAATGATGTGTGTAAATTTTATATTGAAAGTTATTCATGTAGAGATTCTGCTTATTGCTAAAATTTGTGATCTGAGAAAGAAAAATGATATATGGAGGCTCTTATGAGTCCATCCCATTAATAACTTTGCACTTTATACTTGTAAGAAGTTTCATATTGCATCAGTTATAATGTTACAGTGGCGAGATCGATAATGAACTATTCCTTTTTTATTTGGAAATGCAAGTAGTTGGTTGCGATATATTTTGCAGATTAAATTGGCTTTCCTTGAAAAATAATGGAACAATTCTAAAGAACTACTTTTTTTTAATATACATGTGCTGAGTTGGTTGTCTCTTTCACCTATTCGAGTTGGTTGTTTCTGCAGTTCTTTTGAGATTATGTTCCAGATATCAGAGATATAGTAGTGTTTTTGGGAGAGTGTTGGCTTGGTAATCTGTATAGTCCATTTGATTACACCACTGTGAACTTTGTTTACACCTATCCAATATATTGGACAGACCTGTTTCAGAATCCAGTATTGGCTGCACTCTTGTTTTTTTTAAATATAATAATGATGGTCTCTGGCCAACTTGAACGCTCCCTCCACTATATATAGCTGGGCTGAAATCGCAAACCATTGTCAGATTTGCTACTGATTTGTATGTTAACTCGAAGTCTCTACTATAGTATTTACTTACTCTTGTGTTTTTGTTAAAAAATAAACTATCGTTATCCTAAATACATCTGAATAAGAAATGTGTTACTATGTTATGGTTTCGGACTTAAATAATCATTTTTTTTTTTGTTTTGTAATCATTTTGTGTTTGTATTGGTTATTCTTCTTTTTCTCTTTTTCTTTTTGTTTGACTGCTTGGATTTGGTTTTGGGTATTGTTCCGTTTTACCTAAAAAGGTAAATGTAAATGTGTTGGACAAGTGCAGACGAAAAATCTAGGAACCGTCGTGAATTTCTATTTTATGGCCCAAAAGCGTCACAAAATGAGGAACGGTTTTAGCGAAGCGATGTTTATTGTTCATTAGGTCATTTATGATGTCCCGCAAAATTTTAGGAGATTCAGGGCCAGTTACCCGAATTCATGCAAATAGCGTGACTATAGCACGCGAAAATCTCGGAATCGTCTTGAATTCCTGTTTCATGGTCCTAAAATACCAAAAAGCGAGGAACGGCCATGGCGAAGCGATGACTATTGTTCATTAGGTCATTTTTAAGGGCCCGCAAAATTTTAGGAGATTTGAGGCCGATCACCCGAATTCATGCAGATGGCGTTTACTATAGTACACGAAAATCTAGGAATCGTCCTTAATTTCTGTTTTATAGCCCTAAAAAGCCAAAAAAGCTATGGTCATGGCGAAGCGATGACTATTGTTTCTTAGGTCGTTTATGATGGACCCACAAAATTTTAGAAAATTCTGGATCGGTCTGAATTCATGCAGATGGCATGGACTATAACATACGAAAAGAATGGGGAACAATTTCA